CAATACACTTATAAATTTATTACTGAAATGATGTTACTTGTTAGTTGCTCTTGCATAAGAGCAAAAATGTGTTTTTGCCTTGCATATTTCTATATTTTAACAGTTTGTAATGAACAATGTATATGAATCAGTACACAGTAATCTACCAGATCTCAATAAAAATATCAATTTTTATCCCACTAATGATGATTCCAATCATAGATGATTATTCTAAAATTCTTTGTTTTTATTTTCCCTGCATTAATTTATTCCAGAACATTTTAGCACAAAATACTTAATTTACTTGAATGCTAACCCTACTAGATGCAAACTTTGTTAAATGACTAACAACTGAGCCATTATATAATGTACTAAAAGGATTTATAACTACACACACACACATTGAGGTTAGCATGAAATTTCTCACATTGATTTCATAATAATATATTATCAATAACAGGTCATGTCAAAGAAATAAACAATAGGAATTATTCATTTTTAAAACAATTTTCTCTAAAAGGGTTGTTGAAAACTTTCTGTAAAATATCACAGAAAAACTCAAAGTATTCTACAGAAAATTCTTCTTAAAAAATGCTGCAGTTTTTCAGTGAGTAAAATTAAGTATTAAATTGTACTAAACAGCAATATTTTCAAATCTATACAAATATAACGACAGTTTTAAATCCTAAGACATTATGTTTGATATGTAGGGGACTGACAGAATATTCATGTTGTAACATACCAAACAACCACATTATCAATGTGACGTATCAGTCACCCATGTTAATGGCAAGTTATGATAAAATACAAATTCGTCCAATCACGACACAAATTTTACAATCCTCAAAAATGAATAAATGTGTACCTGACCAGGTCTTTGCAATACAAATATTAAGACAAAAACAAAAAAACCAGCAATGTTTTCAATATCAAACAGTATAATCACAATAATATTAATAAAGAAGTAGGAAAAAAAGAACTTGAAGAATGAAAAAAGTTAATTCATAAGATTATGTATAAGGACAGTACTAAACACTTCTCAAAAATATCACATATCACAAATAATGATCAAGTGATTATCTGAAATAAACTATCACTTTTAATATCCAACAAATATATCTCATGTATCAAAGTTTCACAGCTTTTGCCAGTTATTGTGGAATTAATACACTAAACTTTTTGACAAGAATAACTGATTTCAAAAGCAACATTTTGTAGCTAAACCTCTCACTGAGTAATGTTTGAAACACCCGACTCAAGGAGACATGTCAACCTACACAAAGTAGTAAAAAAAAAAGGATTTCAACATTGATGAACAGTTGCTTAGTCATGGAACAGCTTTAATGTGACAACCTTTCCTGGGTACAGGTTATAACTGACTGCTAGTCTGTGTTAACAATATCCTAGCTATACTAGCTTACTCTAGTGTGTGACTTTTTAAGAATTAATTTGGATATTCTTTATCCTACAGATTACAAATTTTACACTATTATTATGAGTACTGATATGTCTACTATGACAAAAGGTATGATTTAAATAAAAAAAAAGGTTCAAAAGTTGTTAGGAATGAGTTTCCTGGACTCAAGGATAGTTAACTATTTCAATCAACCACAAACACTCTGGTTTGCAATATAAAAACAACATTTTAAATTTGTCATGAAGGATCATTTTATACAAGACTTGATAAATTTTCAACATACACTTTATTAAATTCTTCAAAATATTCCCAATTAAGTCCTACACAAAACTGAATACAGTGTAAATATTATTTTTTCAACAAGTTCAAGTAATGGAAAGGTATTACAATTAGAGCTATGTGATTAACTCAATTAATTGATTATCTATAAGCATCAGCAACACTGATTAGGGTTATGTAAAATAATCATTTAATTGGAATTACAACTAAAGCTTGACACTGTTAAACTCTGGGAAGTTTGAAATGGAATACCCCTTTTTAAAAGTGGTACATAATTCCAAGCTTACATGACAATGCTCTAGACAGGGACACATGTCCATGACAGTGAGTGAGATGAAGCAGGAATGAGCAAATGAAAAAGAAATAACCCCTCTTATGACCCCCTTTGACAGTGAGCAAGAGACTACTCTAAGACTTGAGCACAGGGAGAGAAAACATCCCCCCCCCTCAAAAAAAAATAAATAAAAGAGAAATAATGATAAAATATGAAGAGATTTACAAGGATTAGGATCCTGCTAGTGTTGGTACAGTTCTGGTAATGATTATTAGCTACTACCAAGAACTTTATTCAAAATAAAAAACTTTAAGAATATAATAAAATGGAAAATGTTTAAGTCTGACCATCATTTTAAACAAATACTGACCGATTAAATGAGTATTTTCTTAAACTCCACAATACTGTTAGCCTAATTGAGAATTTTGTAATAAAAATTTAGAAATAAGAAGTCAGTCACAATCCAATGTAGTCATATAGTTAATTTAATGTTTTTATATTTAGATAGTGGTTTAATAAAAATTACAAATTGACAATTTATCTCCGTGTTAACTCCAAGTTAAAGAGGTGCTGAATGTTGCAATTAATATACTTGATATTACCTTAAAATGAGTTATCTGAAACTTCTGCAAAATTTAATCGAGTTAAGAAACTTACAAGTCAGTAATTACAATTTAAATATTGGTATAACTCCATTAAGTCAAGCTGTTGCTCTTTCCTCAATAAGTTTACAACTTGTCCATCAACCTCATTAGAGTCCAATAAAAAAACCCAACATATATATATATATATATATATATATATATATATATATATATACTACT